GATGTCGGCCGCCCCTGCCTACAGCGAGGACAAGGGCAGCTCCGCGGGCCCCGGGGAGCCCGAGTACGGCCACGACCCGGCGAGTGGTGGCATCTTTTCCTCCGACTACAAGCGGTGAGGGAGTCGCCCAGAGAGAGGGTGGGCAGAGGGCTGGGGCTTCCCGGGTCCTGCGCCTGCGCCCGGCCTCGCAGACACGCGCCGGCACCATGGACAGCGCCCGGCCCTCGGCCAGGCCCAGCTCAGGCCCCGCCCCGGCTCACAACTGGAATCCTGCAGCCCACTCCCAGGGTGGCCCGGCCTTGTGACCTTGTCTCCAGGCCAGCACCCTTCCCGAGGGGCCGACGTGGGGCCTGGGAGGGGGGTTGGAGGCGGTGGGGGATGGGCCAGCCATCCGTGTTCCTGGAGGACGGACCCTCCCCGCCCCAGGCGTTTCTTTCTGTGGGTTTGGATTACAGGCCCCCAGCCTTTTTCCTTTGTGGGGAATTGGCTCCTAAAGAATGTGGGGTGGGTTCAGAGTCCGTGAGGAAGGCCGACCCTGGGTATAGACTCAGGGCCTCTTGGGCCTGGCTCCTGCAAACCCATTTTCTCTCATTCTGGGCCCCATGTTCTTATCCCCATCTCTTACCTGGCGCTTGCTCCTATAGTTCAACCCCACCTTAACTTGCCTCTCCCCCCATCACCTCTCGTTAATTCTGAAACAAGAATATATAAGGAGCTACTGTATGGAGTCTTGTCCTGGTCACTGTGAATACACCCATAAGCATGCGATAACCCTAGTCCTCAAAAGGCTCTGGAGGAGGGAACACAGAGGAAGAATCCGTCAGTGACAATTCAGTGTAGTGGGGACAGTGAGAAGAGGGAGAGGAGCTGGCCCCTTGCCCTGGACAGTGGAGAGTGAGGGACGTTCTAGGCCGAGGAAAGCTTGTAGGAAGGTGGCAGGTGAAGGAGAGCTGGATCACATGTTTTGTAGATGCAGGTACAGCATGGCCAGAATCACCGTGCAGACCACTGGGTGGGGCGATGCCAATGTTGTGGGGGCTACTGAACGGTGCTACCCAGGTGACACCAGATCTGCATTTTAGAAGGCTCCCAGTCTGGGTTGTGGAGAAGAGATTGGAGGGTGTGCTGGACTGAGCAGGAGACAAGTGGGGGTGGGGGATTGAAGTTGGGGGTGAGGAGGATATGAGGATGACCTAAAATGGCGGGGGGAGCAGGGGATTGGAGGGCTATTAAGGAGGTGGAAGCCACAGACCTGATGATTAATTGGAAAAGAGGTGAGAGGAAGAGGCTGGCAGAAGACAAGGATGATACTCAGGTTACTAGTTACTGCAACTAGATAGATGGTGGTTCTACACAGTGTGATTGGAAATAAAGATATGACAAGGAAATTTGTGGAAAATAGTGTTGAGCCCAGCTTTGGACAAACTGAGATCATGAACCCGACATTCAAGTCCATTTGGTAGTTGGATATTAGGCTTTGGATTCCAGGAGGGAGGGTGGGAAGGATGGGGGGGGGGAGAACGTGAAAGCCACAGAAGGAAGTCAAGATTAACCCTGGGAGAGTGTATGAGTTCTGTCAGGGCACAGGTATGAACCCTGAAGACACCAGCATTAGGGGTGACCAGAGAATGGGGAAACATGGTTTCAAGAAGGAAGCGGTCCGTAGTGTCAGTGCCCACTGAGCTCAAGTCAAACAAGGAAAGAGATTTGTGACCATGGTTTTGACAAAGAGCAGGGCGACCCCTCCTTGCTTCACACACACACACACACCCCAACCCCCCACCTCCCCCACCCCTGCCCCGGACGACCAGTTCTGGCAAAGTCAGAGGAGGAGCTAGATTGTTCCCCACAGTATTCTGTTACGAACTCTTTAAACATACGACAAAGTTGAATAAGTAATGCAGTCAATACACTCTTCACCTGGCTTCAACCACTGTTGCCATTGGGCCAGATTTGCTTTACCTAACCATCTAATCATGTGTATTTTGGCCGAATTATATAAGTTGCAGACATCATGCCCGAAATTCTGATCAGCACCTAAAGCCAGGTTAAAGTGAATAGGAGCTGAATAAATAAAACGCAGTGAATGGGAATTCTGCTTGCTTTCAAGAAGTTAGACTCTAAAGGGGAAGGAGGGAAAGAGTTGCTGTTGGGGAGAACCTTGGATCAAGGAGGTTTGTTTATTTTGTTTGTGGCGTTAACGTTTGTGTGCGTGTTAGGATGGGAGAACCAAGGGCCAGTTTAACTGCCGATGGGGAAGAGCCAGTAGAGCCAGAGAGGCTGAAGGGGATGGAAGGAGGCACGCAGCCCTGGGTGGTGAGAGGGGACGGCTTACAGAGCTGGGCGAGAGGACTGGGAGGGCCAGCTCTGCCCAGAGGGAGGGGGAGAGAAGAGCATAGATGTTTGGGGGCCGCGGGGGAGTTTATCTAAGGCAAGGCTGTGGGTGGGAACTTGACATTGAGGGGATTTGAAATGACAGTGAATAAAGCCAACCACTACTGACAGGTAAGGGCAGTGGGGATGAGAGCTGAGGGTGTGAGTGAGCAGTTGGAGGGATGACCTGGGGGTGGGAGGACTAGGCCAGGTAGGGAGGAAGGTGAGATAAGAGAAGGCTAGAGGGGTAGGGTCAGAGTGAGAAGGAGCGCACAGGATTTATGAGGAAGAGCGGATCTGGGGAGGCAGAGGTCCAGCTGTGGTGTGGGAGTGCAGCTGAGGAGGGCACTTCTCACGTCTGCCTGGATCAGCTCCTCTGCCCCTTAGTCTCCTAGTCTCCTGCCCAGAGCTTGAGGGTTGGCTTAGTCCCCGGTCTCCCCCGCCCTCCTGAGTCCTTGTCTCTGAGCAGTGAAAAGGAAACCAGAGCCTCTCTCCCTGCCAGTGTCCGGTTTCTGAGTTTCGAGGGCGGACTGTCTGGTGACAGTAACAGGCATCCCCAGCTCCTTGGCCAGCTCAGTCCCATCCCAGAGCAGGACCTGGTGCCCGATGCAGCGATTCCTGCAGCTCCCAGGGGCGGTGGTGAGGCCAGGGGCCAGAGGGACCTGCGCGTCTGACCAGGAGGCCGCCAGCCCTGTGCTGGCCCCTGAAGGTGGGCCTCCACCCTGGTACCAGGCCCTGCAGCCTGAAGAGCTTCGATGGCTGCAGGCACCAGAGGACGACACAGCCACCGAAGCGTCCGTGGAAGGACCTTGCCCAGAGTCCGGCCAAGGCCAGAGTCAGAGCCAGCCACTAAGGTACAGAGGAACCCCAGGCCCCCGCAACCCAGACAGCTAGGAAGGCAGCTGCCACTCAGCCCAGACTCCTGCAGACCCATGTCCCCAAGAGGAGGAGGACTGGGCTGGCATTTTGGGTCCAGGCGAGATGGGCTCAGGTGAGGTTTGGGGACAGGATAAAGCTCAGGTATAGTTTGGCCAGCCTCTCCTGGCCTGTGAATTGTGTGGTGTAGGGAGGGAGGAAGGTGTACATGGGGGAGGTGAGCACGACTGGCCTCAAATGCCATGTTTTACCCCCCTGGCTGCCCCCCGCCACTCCCAGAGAGCCCCTCAGGCCAAGCCAGGGGTCAAGTCAGACTGGTGAGTGTAAGGGGATCTGACTAGGGGAGAGTAATGTTTCATGGCCTCAGGGTATTGCTGTGCATCCCTGCCATGCCCTCCCTCTGGGGAGCACAGCTGGTGGGAGCGAGGATGGGACTCGGGGTGGCCTCTCCCCAGGAGGGAGCTGCTGTGTGTTGGTGGGCATCTGACAGTCCTGTCTGTGCTGTCTCCTGTGCGCCCCGTGATCCCTCAGTCCCCAGGGCCTGGACCCCACGGGCTGAAGTGTGTGCACTAGGCGGGGTGGGTGCCCCAGTGCAGGGCCTGGGGCGTGTGCATTTGACAAGGGCCTGTGGCATTTGTGGGTGTGGCGAGGACACCCGGGTATGAGGAACTCTGCTTTGGAGAACACCCAGAGTTAAGAGAGCTAACTGCCACTGCTCCCAGGAAAGTCACCCCAGGGCGACAGGCAAGGATACCCCTCTGCTCCCTCACAGGAGGTCATAGGATCCCTAAGGTTGGATGCGTTTGATCTTAGAAGCCTCAATTCATCATCAAGAATCTCAACTAGGAGGCCAGTGGCCGTTTTGGTGAATGAGACTGGAGTGGCCAAGTTTTGTCAAAAGAGTGTATGTGTGTGTACTGGATGTATATTTGTGTGGGGTGTGTATGTCTGCATGAGTGTGGGGGGGAGCGTGGAGAGGGCTTGGGTGGGTATGTGTCTGTAGAGATATGTGCATGGGTTTGTGGGTGTCTGTAGCGGTGAGGGGGTTAATGTGTGAAGAGTATTTTTGTGGAAAGTGCCTGTATACGTCTATGACTGTTTCTGTGGGTGTGTGTGGGGTTACGTATGGATTGTATGTGTGTCTGGGGATGTAGGTGTGTCTTTGGGGGTCTGAGTATCTGTTGGGTGTAGGTATGTCTGGGGGGGTATATAGCAGGAGTGTCTGTGGTACATGTGGGCGGTACTGGCATTTGGCGGGGATGCTGGAGTGTGTAGATGCCTGTCGGGTATAAGTTGACTGTGGGGCATCTGCGTAGAAGATCCTGGGGGTGCAGTGGGTTGCATTTGTATATTAGAGAAGGTGGTGCCTAGCCCTGTCATTCTTCCTGGATCCTCAGAGCTGCCCAGCTGAATGGTCTAGACCTCTCTCTGCACCCCTGTTGTCCTGAGCTCAGCACCCCTAGGAGCTGACCTCCTGGTCTGTGTTTGGGAGAGTAACAAGGTGGTTGTCTTCTGGACCTGGCTTGGCCATGGGAGAGAAGATGGTGTCTTCTGGTTTGGGGGGCATGCCCTCCCCCCAAGTGGAGATTTAGATGGACATGACAGGGGCTGCATAGCTGCCTTCATCTGACAGCTAGCAAGGCCTCTGTGTTCTGAAAGGCGTCATCTTTCTATTTTGCTTTTCATCAAAAATCTCTTCAGGAAAGACACTTTCTGAAATCCTTGGAACATGAGTTTCTTAGCACCCCTTCTGTCTTTTCTCCTTTTATCTGTTAAGCACTCACGCACACCTCCAAGATGCAGCCCTATGAGTAGGTGTGTGTGATGCCGGGCTCTTCTCTTCCTCTTAGCATTTGTCACTTACTCATTTCTCAGCATCAGCAATAGTCACATTGGCCTCTGGATGACTATTTTCACGCTTATTCCTTTCCTAATATTGCTACCCCCAGTTTCTGATTTTCTGTTGTTTCTAAATGTCTCACTTCTGTGACTAGCTTTCCACACGCTCCTTTTTAATTTCTACCATTGGCAACAGTTCTCCAGGCTGGGTTCTCCTGCCTGGTGAAAAGCTTTGGGTTATCCGAGTGTCACCTGGGAGATTAGAGAACACGCAGGTCCCCCTACACAGCTGCTGTCACCACATTTTGGAATTGTCTTGGTGAAATATGAGGCATCAGTCGCCCCACAACTCTTATCAGCTGTGTAGACACATTTTCCCATGGGTTTATTCACAATTCTCTGTTCATTTCTTGGACCACTGGCCCGGGACCTCTGAGTATGGTTGGGCAGGTTGTTTACTGCTCCAGGGCTCCTGGCCAAGGAATACCAACCCATGATCTATTTGCTGATTGAGGAGCAACAGCTCAGGGCTGTGTCTATCTGGAAGGGCAAGCAGATGGCGATTGGCTTGGCAGCAGCCCTCATGGTAAATACTGGATATGGGCCCTGTAAATCCATATCAGTACTTTATCTATTTTGAATGTTAAACTTTTATTCACCATGTTCCCAATATTTTACTTTTTATTGCTGTTATAGGTTGAATTGTGTCCCTCTCAAATTCATATGTTGAATCCCTACCCCCTAGTCCCACAGAATGTGACTGTATTTGGAGATAGGGCCTTTATGGAGGTACCTAAATTAAAATGAGGTCACCGGGGTGGGCCCTAATCCTATATGACTAATGTCCTTATAAAAAGAGATTAGGACACAGACACACACAGGAAAGACCCTGTGAAGACACAGCGAGAAGCAGCCATCTTTCTACAAGCCCAGGAGAGAGGCCTCAGAAGACACCAACCCTGCTGATACCGTGATCTCAGACTTTTAGCTTCCAGAATTGTAAGAAAATAAGTTTATGTTGTTTAAGCCACCCAGTCTGTGGTCATTTGTTATGACAGCCATAGCAAATGAACACAGTTGCCTTATTTTTTTTAATGTAGTTTTCATAAACTAAAGTTAAAAAAATTAAACCTAGTTCTCTTGTTACTGATAGTTTTGTGATCTTAAAGATAAAAATAATCCCCTTCCTTTTCCATATTTAAAAGTAATGTAACTATTAGATAAATATGAGGCTTATTTTGGTATGGGATACGTTTGCAAGTTAAATTCTTTGCTGCTTAGCTGTTGTCCCAACAGCATTTATTTGGAGGAGGTGTGGGGGGGGGTTCTTACACTGGTGAGCTATTCCTAATATATCAATTTAGGTCCATTTTTGGAGTGTTTCCCCTTTGACTTTCTATTTTTAACCTGGTACCACAGAGTTTTTATCATTGTTATGTTGGTCTGTGCTTTGAATTCTGCTACAGTGAGTTGTCTGCCCCTGTTCCATTGTTCTCTTTTTCCCCCAAAATATTCTTTGGAGTTATTACCTATTGTTTTTGTTTTTGTTCCCCAGATGAATTTTGCTGTCACTTCACAAAGTTTGACAAAATGCCTCTGTTGAAATTTCGATGGACATTGCATGAAATCTGTGTCTTGGTTTGGGGACTACCTTTATTCTCCTCAGCCACGTGCAAGGGGTCATTTATTCAAATCTTCATTTATTTCTCCCGTGAGGGTTTTATAACTTCCCTGAATAACTTGAATGTTGAGTGATGGCTCGGCCTTTGCTGTGAGGTGATCTCAGAGACTGGAATGCCTGGGACCCATCCAGTCATTGGAGTCAGCTCGGTCGGTGGGGTCAGGGTGGGGCCAGCGCCTCCCGCTATTGCTTTGCCGCCCAGTTCTTTTCCACTGGCTCCAGGTTCTTCTCATCTATCCAACTGGCAATTTCCTGGCCGAGTCCATACCTTTCCCACCCCAAGCCCCTCCTCTTGTCTCCTGGCTCTATGTCCCTGGCTGTATTAGTTTCTCAGGGCTGCTGTAACAAAGTACTACAAACTAGGTGGCTTAGAACGACAAAAATTTATTGTCTTACAGTTCAGGAAGCTATAAGTCCAAAGCCAAGGTGTCATCAGGGCCACCTTGCCGCTTCCTAGATTCTGGTAGTTTCCTGGCAATCTTTGGTGTTCCTTGACTTATCGATGGGTCACTCCAGTCCTCCATTTTCACATGGAGTTCTCCTACATCTTTGACTCTTCACAAGACCATCTTGTTATAAGAACACTGGATATACTGGATTAGGGAGCAACCCTGCTCCAATATGACCTCATCTTAACTAATTACAGCCACAAATAAGGTCACCTTCTGGGGTACTAGGGATTAGGACTTCAATATATCTTTTTTTTTTTTATATTTTTATTGGGGGATGGGAACAGCGCTGGGGAATTGGGGGAAGGGGAACAGACAAGTTGCTGTCGTTTTTGTTCTTCAGTCTAGTTGTGGAGGACGTTGCTTCACTGGCCCAAGTTGGCACCATCATTGCGCTCTTCCCGGGTGAGGCAGATCAGTCGCCGGCTTCTGGACGGCCGCTCACTGCGGCTGCTGGCCGCTCACGCTGGCTGCTGGCTACACACACGGCAGCCCATGGCAACCCACTGCCACAGGGGCTGCAGCCTACGCCGTCGCCGGCGACTCACGGCAGCCCAGCTCCAGGCTGAGCTGTTGTTCAGCATCTTAGCTGTGGAGGGCCGTGTCACTGGTCCTCATATGTGGGATCTGAACTGGGGCCCTCTGGCATCCCAAGCCAGCTCTTAACCAATGCGCCACTTGGCCAGCCCTCAACATATCTTTTTTGAGGGGGACACAATTCAACCCATAACGTTAGCTGACCCACATATTTCTCCCAACCCTGAGTCCCCTGTTTGGTACTTGATGGCCTTCCCCTGTGGCCGGGTACTTTCTGAGCCTTCCCTGCCCATGTCTCTCCTTTCTGCCTGGATCCTTCTGACTGATGGCCTCACCCCCACCCACCCTGTGCCCTCAGCTGACCTCTTATGCTTCTCCCCAGGCATGATGACCTGAAGGAGATGCTGGATAGCAACAAGGATTCCCTCAAGCTGGAGGCCATGAAGAGGATCGTGGCGGTGAGGGGGGAAAGAGGGGACCTGCCTTGGGGGAGGGGCCTGGGGTCAAAGAGCAGTCTCCTTGGCCCCGTGTGGACCTTCCCCTGTTGAGTGCTGGCCTCCTCCCTTCTCCTTCTCCCCTGGCCTGACCCCACCACCCAGATGATAGCCCGGGGAAAGAACGCCTCAGACCTGTTTCCCGCTGTGGTGAAGAACGTGGCCTGTAAGAACATAGAGGTGAGCACTCCCCAGTGAGGGGTCCATGCCGACCTCCACCAGGAAGAAACCGAAGCTGGTGGTCGGGGGTGAGGAAGGGAACCATCCAGCCCTTGGTGCCCGACCTGCTCAGAAATGTCCCCAGTCCAGGAAGAGACTCTGTCCACATGTCCCTGAACTAGATGTGGATCAGGGTGAAGGTGGGGTACACTAGGGGTGCTCTCCCCCACTGGAGGAATCAGGGTGGGGGCACCAGTCCCTGCTGAGAGAACTGCTGTCCCCCACCCAGGTGAAGAAGCTTGTTTACGTGTACCTGGTGCGCTACGCTGAGGAGCAGCAAGACCTGGCCCTGCTGTCCATCTCCACCTTCCAGCGTGGCCTAAAGGTCAGTGGCCTCAGTGTGCCTCCCTGGGGTCTGGGCCTCGTGGGTGCTGTACTGGAGGAATGGGCCCAGGGTGAAGTCTCTTGAGGCCCGGTCCTACCTGCCTAAGGTTGGG